AATGATGGTACGAATCCAACCTAAAAGAGATTGAACTCGCCCTAAATCAGCCTTTACTTAATTCTTATGATATTCATGTGCGCTTTCCGATCAACAAATATACACTAAATTAATCCTAAAAAAACCTGCTTAATCTATGTTGGTTGATTATTAATGCACAATCAAATCTATTATTGGTGATCACTTGAATTAAAATCATGTTAACCTAAATCAAATTATTAATTATCTTGTTAGGCGTGATTTTAAATACAAATTCCCTTTAAACCTGCAAGAAGGGGCGTAATCAAGCAATAACAATCAATCATGAATAATCAAGCAATGTAATAATTGACACAACAATCATCATCATAATTATAACAACAAAAAAACATATTAAAACATGATTAGCAAAATCCTAGGCATGATACTAAACGGATTAATAACAAACCCTAGCATGTCACTAATAATCATAATCAAAGAATTGGCCTAAACATGATGCTAGAAATTAACATGATATTAGAAATATTAATTAACACCCTAAACATGATACTAGGAATCAAAATCAACATCCTAACATGATACTAGAAATCAAAATATTATTCTAACATGATACTAGAAATCAACATAATATTCTAAGCATTATTTCTACCAAAAGAACAATTAAGTAATCGAATTACTCACTTTGATGCCTCGTATCTCTTCTATCAAAACAATACACACGTTTTTAGGTCGAAGGCAACTTCGAGGTTGGCTAGGAGTATTCAAAGCTCGTGAAGGAGTTATGGTGTTTGATTAGGGAAAAGTATCAAGGATGTGTATTAGGACGTATTTAGGCTAAGGCTAAGGAAAGAATCAAGAGAGAGAGAGAGAGAAAGTATTAGAGAAGGGATTAGATAATGATTGTTGGTGAATGTAAACGGGGTGAAACGACCTCTATCTATAAGGAAAAAAGAAGGTCGAAGGATCAGAAAAGAACCAGAATCCGAATCAGAATAAATCAGGTTCCATAGCGGCGCCCTTTTCAAGCCCCATTTAACTACACAATAATTGGACAAGGATTATGGACCAAAATAGACTGGTTTGGACGTTTTATAAAGAGGACACGAAATGAATGATTTAAGGTTTAAAGACACGAAATGAATGATTTTGGGTTAAAACATTTTAGGTAAGGTTATAAATGGTCAAGGCTAAAGGGAATTCGCGAGACTCTTCAACTAACTCGATAATCAAAGACGTGAAAGGTACTCATCACTGGATTTGGTTTTTGGGAGACACAATAAGGTGTCTACAGTTGTATTACTTTGCATAAAGTTACAGCCTATAAATATACAAACTAAAGACTATTTAAGTACATAATAAATTATAGCTATGAAAGGGGAGGAAATAAGGGATATAATTTACATAAGTCAAAGATGTCAAATTGCACAAAATTACGAAAGCTAATATGCTGCAAGTGGCCATAATTATCTTTGTTAAGTCAAAGATATGATTGAGAATAATATCAAGATAAATTCTTGCTATTATTCTCTTCATTTTGATCCTCAAAACCATGTATAAACTCATTAAAAACGTCATACATAGATCATACAAAATCAAGGCTTTGATATCAAACAAATTTAATCATAAGAACATTCATAAAACTCATCAAAATAAGCACAAAACCACACGAAAATTGCAGCTCATCAATTGTACGGAATTCACACAATATCCCTAACCTTAGGCATGATTTCAATCCAACCCTAAAATCCCATAATTCTAACCTAAAGGAGAAGGCTAGTTACCTTGATATATAGGCCACCAAAACCAGAAGAAAAGGACAGCAACACCAAGCACAAATAGCAACAACAACACGCACAAATACCCACCCAAGCAGCCTTGTTCCCTTGCTTCGTTTTTGTGTTGTTTTAGAGGACAGATAAAGCACGGTTTTGGCAGAGATTATGGCAACAAGTTGGCTTTGATTTCCACATTGAATCCCACTAAAAGATGGGGAGAAGAGGGGTGAGTTGCTGCATCATTTGGTGGAGAAAAGTTGATGACTTTTGGCCTCCATTGTACGTGAAAGGAGAAGGGGAAGTGAAAGGGTTTTGGGAAGCAAATTACTAGGTTTTAATAGGCTTAATGAGGCTGAATATGGGGGGGTTACTTAGGTTGAATTTGGGCAGTAGTAAAGCCTTGTGGCTGCGGTGAAAAGGGAGGTAAAATGGGCTAAATTAGCTCTCATGCAAACGCTAACTTAAGCCACACTAATGGGCTTGATTGAATGATTAATTTTGGCTTAAGAATAGAATTAAGGAGGCTAATAAACAAGCCTTTCTTAATCTATTTAGTCATGAAAGTAATAAGGCAAAGCCCGACCCATAAACAAATTTTAGTTGGCCCGAAACTAGACTAGGAAAGGAATGTAACGGGAGGCGATTTGAAACGAATGCGAAACCGATAATATTATTCATTTATAATGATCTAATTAATAAAAAGGACATTATAATGAGTTTTTATAAATATAAGAATTAAAGAATAGTTTATAAACAATATCAATTTGATAAACGTGTTGACGAAATTACCCAATACAACTTTATTTATCGATATTGATACGGTTGAACGTAAAATGTTTTAAACACCTTAAAATCATTTTATACCTAATCAAATTGACACTTCAGTCAAGGAATCACCCATGATGGCCCGTATCAATCTTAATAGGTTAAATATCGAAATTACATATAATATAAGTGTAACACTTACTGAATTGACGCTTAAGGTCAAGGAATCACCCTTTAAGGCTAATATCAATTCAAACAAGTCAAATATAATTGAAATGATTAATACTCAAATATATAACCTTTTAAATAACAACTTTCAATCATTTCGTCAAAATATTATAATTAAGGTTTTAAAAGCTTGGGATGACCCTTATATCAAAATAACGATTTTAATAATTAAATTAACAATTCAATTTAGAAATTGAGATTTAAATTAGAAATTAGGTTTAATAGTTTGAAATGCACATAAAATAGTGGTTCAAAAATACTGGGTGTTACAAATCACCTCTAGAAACTCGGCGTTCGAATAATCAAGGCACCCAGGCTACTTCGTTTGCGGCACAACAACCATCCAACACCTCAAACAACTCTACTCTGCCACCACCGCAAGGGCAACAACAGCAGCAACAGGTCGCCACCGATGGCGCAGTAGAGGTGGCAGATGAGGACGAGGTCACGGTGGCACTAACAACAACCAAGGAAAAGGGAGAGGTATGGGCGATACAATCAACAACAACAGCAAGAAAATTCATCATAAGCTTCACAAACCCCTTCAATAGGCTCCAACATGCACCTGGACTCAACAGTAGGCCCAACCCATACAATGGGTTCCTACCACTCCTTTTCCCTTTTCCTCAGTAGGCCCAATACCCTCAACGACCCACTGCTCCTCCACCTAGGTCGGCCTATATGGCCCAATACTTACAGCAGGCCTATCAAATACAGTACCCGTCATATCAAGCCCCCTCCTACAGTCCCGCAATGACTCCCATCGAGCTTGCAAACTCCTTTGCCACTATGAGTCTACTGCAGACAACTCATGGTACATAGATTCGGGTGTGACGTCTCACATGACCAACAATTCATATACTCTCATGCCTTTGTTTAATTTGATTACAAATTATCATATTTTAGTTGGTAATGAATATCGCATTCCAGTTACGGGGCATGGTCACACCACTTTACCTCACCCCAAACCCTCTTTTGTCCTTCGTGATGTACTATTAGCTCCACAAATTGTTAAATATCTTATTTCAGTTCGAAAGTTCACTTTCAATAATTCTGTGTCAATTGAATTTGATCCTTTTGGTTTTTCTGTGAAGGACCTTCGCATGGGGAAAGTAATAACGAGGTGTAATAGTTCGGGGGATCTTTATCCGGTCACCACCACTACCAATCCCTCTACTTGTCTTGCTACCACTCTCACTGTCACATCATCTCACATTTGGCATGATCGCCTTGGACATCCGGGAAATCTTGTTTTAAGTGTTATTAGGTCTAGAAACTTAATTTCGTGTAATAAGGAGCACGACTCCATATTCTGTGTTTCTTGTCAGTTAGGAAAACATATTCGTTTTCCGTTTTATAATTCTAATAGTACTACTTCCACTGCTTTTGAGATTATTCATGCTGATTTGTGGACATCTCCTATTCATTGTAATAAACAAATATTATTTGGTATTGTTGGATGATTTTACCCACTTTGTGTGGATTATTCCTTTAAAATTCAAATCTTAAATCTTCTAATATTTTTTTAAATTTTAGAGCATATGTTATGACTCAATTCGAAAGGCCCATAAAATCATTTCCAAGGCCGGCCATTAGCCTGTGCAGCCTGAGCGGCCGCACAGGGCCCAACTTTGATTGGGGCCTCAGATCATTAAAAACGTATAATTAATATATGCTGTAGATTTATTCATACATACTAATTGTGGCTTAGTGATTTATTCAATTTCCACTAAAAGCCTTTTTACTGTAATATTTTTTAACAAAATGTATCTAATGCGTATTTCATTTTTGAAAATTACAAACTTTATATATTTGTTCTTTTTTTTTTAATGGTAAGAAAAAGGAAAAACATTAGAAAACCCTCCTCACGAAGGGAATTCCCAATGCATCTAAGGAAAGAATAGGAATTAAACTAGAGTTATTACAAGGTATGATATCCATATTGTCTATAATAGCCCGTGAGTAGCCTATGCGTATTTCATTTTTGATAATTAACTTTATACTTCTTCCGTTCCAATAATATTGCAACAAGGATGAAATTACGCATCCCAAAGCACATTTTAAATATCTATAATTGTATAAGAGTAAAAATTATAAAAATTTGATATTGTGACAGTATTTTACTAGACGAATCTAACAATTTTCCCACATGACTATATTTTGCTTAACGTATAAATTATATTACATGGTCAAACAAGAGTGGTGAATAGTGCAAAAGTCCAGTTATTGCAATATTATTAGAACGGAAGAAGTATATTTGTTCATTTATTAAGGGTGAGAAAAACAACGATTTTGTTTCTTGTATAAAAATAAGCCGTGAGTAGAAAAAATTCATGAGCCAAATTTTATACTCCATATTTTCATAGGGTCTTCGAAAAGGTTGGGATGGCCCTGATCCTTTCAAAGTGATCACGGTAGAGAATTTGCTAATGATCCTTTCAAACTATTAATGATATTAGATGATCATATAGTGTAGAAATATTTATCACTTCCATTTAGTATTATAGTTTGATTTAGTGAATGATTTCAATCGTCTTTTGATCAAATCAAATGAAAAATTAAAATAATGTAATTTTCCTTTTTCTTTCTTTCTTTCTTTATTTTTTATTTTTTATATGGGTTAGTTATTTGACCGTGTACACTTATTTTACCTGGTTTGTATTAATTTGATTACTGGGCTTCAAGCCCAAATTCCTTTCAATGGGCCAAATGATATACATCCATTTTTTAAAAAAGAAAATAAAACTGATGACACGTGAAATGGTATGAAAGAAACACGTGTTAAATAGCCATCAAAAGAGTTAAAACCTGTCAACCGCCTAAACCTTGCTCACAAAACCCTCAACACAAAATAGCTGACTAAACAAACACTCAAACTCAACACAAAATCTGAAATAGTATTTCATCATTAACCAAATTACGGAGTACAAAATCAAACAATTGATTAGAAATGGAAGGAAGGAAAGATTTGGGAGTGCAAACTAAAAGGCTTTTGAAGCGTATTACCAATAAGAACAAGATTAAGAAGAAAAACAGTATCAGTAGTATTAATTTTAGCAATATTATTCCAGATTTTGCTAATTATCTTAAATCTGATTCTTATTTTTACTCCCACTTCATCTCTTCTTCTCACCCGTCTCATAATTCAGCTCCATTTGATGTTGTTCTCTCTTTTAGAGGTAACTTCTTTCAACTTTATTACTTTTTAATTTCTTGTCATTTTTTTTTAACAATATATAAATTATTATTTATAATATGTGCATTTCAGTTTTTTTTGTAAATTACATCCTGTTATAATCCTTTAAATGATACGAGTAGATGAGTATGGTATTATTTGTTATGTCAATGTGTAAAAATGTACATGTGTAAGGATTTAGGCAAATTGTGTTGTGCGTAGGCCATATTTCACTTATTTTATCTGTGAATCTATGCCCACTGCCATACACACATTTTATCGTGATTCGTGACTGGCCACGCGTATAGCCGTGCCAATTCAGGTGTCGGGTTGGGTCTAAATTTATAATTCAATCATGTAAAATTATTATGTCCAAGCAAGTCGATATCTGAATTTACTTTTTTTTTTTTCGGGTCTGGTCGGTCAGATAGGCTTTTGACACCTCTAGATGTGGTGCTAGCATTGTGTTTTTTTTTTTTTTTTTTTTTGCGGTACTACAGTAATACTTAATATAGGCGTAGTGGATAAAAAAAAAGGTATGGCACTTAGGGAGCCCATATGGTTATGGACCTTATGGTGAAACAAAATTGAGGTCGTACTTAGTATGGCGGTGGTAGTATGTCTTACGGTTTTGCTTCAAATGATGATGTTGTTGTAACATCGTTACATGAATTGGTGTATGCTATGATTGTACCTAAAGATGACTATGGGCCATGCCTCGAGCTAGTCCCGATGGTTGAGCCATTCGCTTTGCAATTTTAGTGTTGGGCCAATGGCCCAGCTTAGTGCCATCTTTAGTTATAGCTCGAAATAAGTAATTTGTCATTGCTCAAAGGTAGGGATGGTTGCTCATAGGCATATGGTTATGGACCTTTTGGTGAAAGTAGTGTGAAACTAATACTCCCTAGTCAATAGTCTATTTGAGAAAACTTTAGGTATACAATAACCGGAATCTATTACTTTGCATGTTACAGCCGTTTGCTGATTCGCTATGAATGAATAGTCAAATTTGAGAAAATCCATGAAACTTCTGTTTAGTCCATTCTACTTGTAGAAGAAGTGCATATCAACATTTGGTCATGCCCTGAAGGTTCCGGTGGTGTTTGCCTTTTGTTTTTCGTAAATTGTATGCTATGCCCAAATTTTACTAAAAATTACAAACAAAGAAATGTACTACCTCCGTTTCATATTTTTTTGCAACTTTGGGTATTATTTGTGAGATATAAAATATTCCAAATTTGCAAAAAAAAATGAAACGGAGGTAGTAAGATAATCATTGAATATAACAAAATGGGTTCAATTATCAGATTTTCTTGTCATTGGACAACTTTCATTTGTTCTGTGTCTTATCAAGCTTGGTTTCTCTTAGTAACTTCTTGTTTGGTATGGATCAATTTGACTTGTCATGTTAGCTATAATCCTCTCCTTACTCAAAAGAAAAACAAGGGTAATGGAATTTGTTAATGACGGAGTACATTTTAATGTTCCGCGACAGTCCTATTTGCTTAAGATTTTACATTAAAGATGGCTGGTTTGTTGAAACAATTTCTGTTTGTGTGTGTGATTAGATACAGCCCATACTGGTGAACATATTTTGTCAAATAAAGGGCAAATGAAGGAGAGGCTAGTGGAATACCTTAAATCTGATACGTATCTGTACACTCCTTTGGAAGGTACTCGACATTGTGGTAATATTGCGGAGAAATCTGTCATTTCTTCCCCAAGAGGTAAGGTTCCTTTTGCTTTAATTGGAAATGTATGCTTTTGAACGTTAGTTGATGGTGGATTGAGTGTTTCAAAGTGTTCCTAGAACTTTTGTATGACATTGGATCGTACTGGACCTTAAAGAACAACTTTAAGGTGGGGCTTTCCTACTCTGTTTTGTCTCATACTCATACTAAGAGTCTACGCTTCAATAAGGAAAAACAATAGTATGTCATTATACCTTGAATCCAATTCTTCTGTCTTTTATTTTGTTTTTCACATTTGTGGCGATTTTTCTTATTAGTTCATTCTATTATTTTAGGCTTGGTAACTTATATTAGTAAAGAATTTTAGCCAATCAAAATTTCATGGGCATGAATTTGTATGAGTAACATATATTAGGCTACAACCTTTCATTCACTTATTGAGTCCAAGTTGATTATGGAATTTTTTGAAAGCCTAGGACAGCTACCTCGAGGCTTTTTACCTGATGCTTTACTTGGTCTTAATCTAAACTACAACACTTTAAGTAGGTTTAGAGACTAAAGATCAATAACATATGTACCTATAGTATCTCAAGATCATTTTTATGTTTGGTCGATTTTAATATACGATTGCAATCCATACATGTATTGCTTGGTCCAGCAATGATCAGTTGGATTTACAACACTCTTTCGAGTATATCATTTGTTATGTTTGGTTAATGAATGTTTGTGTATGCACACTTATTATATTCTGTTTGTTCTGATATCCTGTTGCTTGCAGGACAGGAATTGCAATTTACAAGAGTAACTAGTACAGTCTTGTCGGAGAAGATTGCTTGGCAGACAAAAGAAATAGCTGAAAATTCTGTGGTTGAAAAGCATGGGGATCATGGCTCAAATGGTATTCCTCAAGATGCAAGTATCTTATTCCCTAAAACTCCAGGACTCCAGGAAGTAAAGAAGCAAGCAGCTCGCAGGAGCAGTCGATTATCAACAATCTCAGGTTCTTTTCACTCGATTACAGTATGCTTTGCTAAAAAAATTTAAGCACCTTTCATGATGTTTTTCAAATATGTTTTGACGTTTCTAGTCTTCTAGATGCACAGAAAGTTATACCTGCTAAGCAAGTTAGTATATATATGCATGAAACTCAATTGGTGTGTTGTAATTAAAGTGTGTTCAGCTGTGCAAAATCTTCATTAATAAGGGCTAGCTTATGATTGGGCTCTGGCTTCTGTGTGCTATATATGTGCTCTATGTTCACGATAAATGTTGTTGGTTGTATGTACGGAAAGTTGGGGATGGGATCCCTATTAAGCTTATAGTGATTTACAAGCCTTGCACAGAAGTTTTAAATAGGAAGATGCAAGAAGCACTTAATTCCATGTGATGAATTATGAAATGTCGAAGAAATGGGCAAGCTACATGTGTAGCTTATGGCCCTAGGCTACGATGTATGGTCGTATGGATCCCTTTAATTGAATCAATGGTCTTTACAAATGCATCGTGGCATTTGAAAGACGATTAGAGAAAAAAAATATATATAAGTTTTGTAGTAGGTAAAATTACAAGTCGCTCTAATTAATTAGTACTACTGGATAGGTTATATTTCCATTATTGAAGTGTTTTGGAGATATTTGATGGAAATTGGAAAAGGTTGAATTGTTTATGACTTTAAAATTTGGTGTCTAACATTATCCACTTGAGGAAAAGGAATTTTCTGTGTACTGTGACAAGAGAAAGTATGTGGTAATAATCTCCGAGATTTGTGAATAGTATGTACCAGTACCAATTTCACCCCAACTATCAAAAAATGTCCCTCTTGTAATCAACAATTCTCCAAATCCCCTCCTCTTGATCAAGTTATGGTAATCACAAGAAAAGTCGCCATTGAGCTAATTACTAATCTCGGAGCGAGATTGGCCTTGCCTGTTATTTTTCAATTCAAACGATGATGTGGTCTTTAATTTCCCAAGATGCGTAACTAGTTTAATTTTCATATTCCAGCTGTACTTGATACAGTTTACCTGCATGCAATGTAATACAGAATGCTATAGGAAATTGTTTGTTATCAACGTTTAGTTACCTACATAAAGGTGAATTGTTTTGCGTATGTTAGATATAAATGTTAATTTTCTGTGCTCCAGTTTGAGACTGAAGATTGTATATGTTCTTTGTGCAGGTTAAAGTACTGGAATAGTAACGTAAACAAGTCTTTAATGAATACATTGCCGTAAGCAGCTAGGGCATAGAAACTTAGACTGATTTCATTTTGTATATGTGCTTAATACTTATACTGTATCATCTACAAGTAAGATGTCGAATGTTCTCTCGATGAAGTCTAGAATCATCAAAAAGAAATTGCTTATCGTCGAAAAGTAATATATAGCTCTTTTTAACTTCTGAGCATCTTCAATTTATAAACTTTTTAAATGTTCTTTATGTTCATCTGGCAGTGCTATAATTCCAAATGCTGAAGTGTTAGTTGAAATCACAGTTTCATGGACATTCTGATTTTGATTTACAACACCAACCAGGAACAAACTTACCAGTTACCCTGCAGGTATGACTAGATAGAAATCAAAGAGGTAAGACTCTTGTACATTTGAAGGTTGAGTCGTTGAGTGAACTCAAGTTCGGCTTGTCATGGCTGGAGACTTATATACAACAGCAGGTTGAGTTGAGCGGACCTAGCTGTGTTTGGCTGGTCATGGCCGGAGACTTATATACAACAGCAGGTTGAGTTGAGCGGACCTAGCCAGTAGTTACACTCTTGAACAAGGAGGTATAGATTGTTAATTGAGTATGAAAACCAATCCTACGTTTCAATCATGAGATTAAGTTTTTAGTTAAATCGGTCCTCTAACATAGTATCAAGAACCAACGTGATAAGAAAATCATGAGTTCTAATTTCATTCACCCTCCTTTCAAGTGGAATAGTTGGCGCATATTATTTGGTGGAGGAATTTAAACTCCGCCAGAACAGCAATACTCCGGAAAATTTTTATGTTCAAACAAGCTCATCTAGTGACATTAAGCTAATTTCCAGGTATAAAAAGAAGATGACTATTCTCCAACGAGTATATGTGGATACTGTTGTTATTCGGCAATATTTCATTACACGGACTACATGTATTTTCCCGTCAATTTTTAATCTCCCCCATAGTCATAGTTTTCTTTAGCCTAATTTAGTCCACAAAATCCTAAATTAAAGAAGGTGTTAAAATTAAGTCATAATCTAAACCATAGCAAAATGAGAGGATGGCATTATTAGTGATACTAATTGACACAAAATGTAAGCAAGAAAAAGAAAAGAAGTGTACTAGATGAAAGGAGAAAGAGGGACTACACTCTCAAGAAAGGAAATGCACCCATGTGGTGACCATGTGGAAGATAAATAAGTTACTTCTTTGCTAAAGCCAGGCCAAGCCAATTTAAACCAACAATTTTGGGCTTGCTCTTTTATTTTTCTGGTTTTTTGGTCCCACTTCTTCCCTTTTTTTCATCTTGTTTCCTCAATCCCGCCAATTTCCCGTTGTTGACAACCTTTTTTTTTATGGGTGTGATAGTTATGAAATTAGTATGTTGCTATCAATATGTGCAAATTGATGTTGTATATGTATGTAGTTGGGTAGAATACTTGGGTAGTTGGGTTTTATATTTGTGCATATTAATGTGCAAATCTAGGTTTTTTTGGCTTTTTATGGACGTATCTAGTAACAACTAACTTTTGAATTATTGTCATGGTAATATATCCTAATTGAATTACCAAATTGAAATGTATAATGCATCCAAACCCAAATGCACAATTTCGACCTAAGTGAGATTGATTTGAACCATTCCAACTTGAAATTTAATAAGAATATATTGATCTATGATCTATAAAGAGCCAATTTATGGTGGACAGGATGACTTAACTTAAATGACTCATCACCCAAATATGACCTATTTATCACCTTTAATTTTAAATTGATCGCAAAAGTGTTTTAGTTCAAAAGAGTGTTTGATGAGTATTTCCTCAAATTTGAACGAACATATATAGTGGTTAGGTTTCAAAAGCTATTTTGAACGTTTGGCAATGGTGTAAGTTAGTGTTTGATGAAAGGCATTATCTCACTCTAAAGGTGATAAAACTTCTCTTGACCTCTTAAAATATCAAGTTGTTAACAATTATACTATGTTTCATTTTTGTAAATCCCTTTTATTGCTATACAACTATATATTATCCCACAAAATTCACCTTTCCACTCAATCTCTTTCACTTTATCTACTTTTTTTTCCACATCCACTCTTTTTAACATTATCGTCACTTTTTCTTAACCACGTTTTTCTTAAATCCGCCTACCCACTTAGCTATATTCTTAATAACGGTGCAAATATTCCGTAGTAAATGTTAAGATCAAATGCCTCAAAAAAAAAATGTTAAGTTAAAATAAAACGAAATAATAGTTAAAAACTAAAAAGATTGTACTATGATTTTATTTTTTTTAGTACTATGAAGCTTTCTACTCTATTACCTTACATAATTAATGTAAAAAATATTTAAATTCAAAGTAATAAATAGTCTCATACTTATGATAATAATTAATAAAAATCAATGTAGATTTAACAAAACCTAATACATTTCTTCCAAAAAAAAAAAAAAAAACTTAATACATTATACACCTGATATCCAGCCTTTATTAGCTTTTTGTATAGTAACTCAATTACATGTATACAACATGCAAAAAAAGGAGAAAAAATAGCTTACTAAAAGTGGTTATTTAATGCATGGTAGTGACTTTTATGTGTGTCAATAATAAGACCAACAAGGTCTCTCTCACTTGTGTTCTCTATCAGTCGTCATAGTATGAGTTGTTGTGGTCAAATGACATTGATTTCTTTTTCAATTTTCATCTTAACCGCATTTCTAATTATTCATTATTGGATTAATTATTTATTGATTTGATTCAATCTGCATCGTGCATCATCAATAATCTACGTAATATTTCTTAGCACTCACATGGCGCCTTTGCTATTATTGGATTTGAAGGACTTGGTTTAGTTGAGCAATTTGTACGGATAGTTGAGAAATTTTCCACAACTAATTAATTATTATATCCAAGACTATACTACCTCTATTTTAATATCTTATTATAGTGTAGTCAAACTTGATACAATTTTTTTTTTTTTTAACAAATCAATTTATTAATAAAAAGTCATACAACATCTACAATGAAATCTAAATTAACAAATACATAAAATTGAATCAAATAAGTGTTTTCTTCATCAAAACTACAATCGTTGAATAGATCTAGCACTGTGATACATCTCTCTCTCACACACATCGCTGGAATAAACAACCTTTTCGAAGAGACGATCAATGCATTAGTTTGATCTTAATATACGAAGTATAAATACATATATAATCAAATTTTTATTAATTTTTTTTAATATGATCAAATTTATATAAATACTTTCATAGATAATAAATGATAATTTTTTCTTTTATTTCGTAATATGTATAATAATCAAAATTAATATGTAAATAGTACAAAAAGTCACAATATGTTAGTAGTATATATCATTTTCAAAAAAAATGTTCTTTGTAAGAATATATTGTCCTTTGTATTGGCCATGACAGCACATAAATCTGGCTTGGCAAAATTTCACCCTTTAATCATTTCTCTAAATTAATTTTTTAAGGATAGATTGTCATTTAATTTGACTATTATGCACAGCAAGTAATGAGTGCTTTTTTGCATGTGATAAAGTGTTCTTAATTCTTCTTACATACTCCCTCCTTGTTTTAATAAATGTTATAGTTTGATCAAACACGCATGGTAAGACACAACTTTGACTATTAATTTATCTAATCATATATAAGTAAAATTATAGGAAAATTGATATTATAAAAGCATATACATTATAACGAATTTAATGATGTATTATACAATAACATTTGTTTTTTATAAATTAGTAAATTAATCAAGTCAAAACCATTATGTAAATAGTGAATCAAATTGTAACACTTATTAAAACACGGAGGGAGTTTTGAATTAAACAATTTTCAATCAAAAGTTTTTGGTTAATTAAAAAACTTAATCTGTACATACCATACAACCTTGTTTTCTAGAATTACCACATACCTTTCTTGATGAAATTAAAGGGTGAAATTTAGACTTATTCTATTATTGTGAATTTGTATTGAATGTTTGTTTTCTTATAAATAGCTTGGTTTGAAGTCATCATGATATAAACTTTTTTGCAATTTCTTATTATTTTTAACCTCTCAAGAGTATCAACCATCAGATATATAAAATGTGCAAAAAAAACGTAAACATATACTCCCACACACACAATCCCTAAATTACACTTTAGATTTTTTTTCGTTCCCAAACATTAAATTCTCTATGGACTCACAATAACTAACACATCAAAGACTATATACCCATCCCAAAAAAAAACTTTACCCACAAAATTTATTAGCTTACATACCAAATGAACATTCCACTTTAATTCTTATTATAAAAGGGTTTGACAAATTTTTCACCAACCATATGGGTATCAACCAAATTTAAGAAAAATGCCATTTCATGACATAAATGACGTATAAATTAACAAATATTATATAAATACGAAATTATAATTGTTCTTGTAACAAGTAACAAAAGTTGGGATTGCACAACATTAGGGAAACCCCCCTTTATTCTTGATGACTAAATTTTGAAAAAAATTTGACATGTCTTCCAGGGCTTGGGGTGGTGGGCCATAGCCCACCCATGTGCCTGCATGTGCTGTGTCTTTCTTATTCAAGGCCCACCATTTCTCTTTCATCCCTTTTTCTTCTTAACAAAATAAATGGTGTGTTTTCAACACCTTTCTTCTCCTTCTCATGTGCATCCTTTCTTCTTCTTTGTTTAATAATCAATCCTAGTGAAGAATTTTTATTCCAAGGTATGTATTTTCATCCTTATTATTTCTTCAACACCTTTTCATCTTCTTTTTCACCCCAATCATTTTATATATAAGAACAATAATAATGAAGAATTTTTGGTATGTACGATATGATATAATATGATATATATCCAGCTTGGTGCGTGGTTCTTATTATTTTCATATGGTCGCATTACATCATTATTTATGTGCATTTTCTCATCTTTAAGCTTCAACAACATTGCACATTTTTCAAATCTGAAATATTCAGTCATTTACAGTGAATAGTTAGTTGTTAAATTACTGGTCGTACCTTGTATTGAAAGAACCAAAAGAATAAAAGTATATAGCCAACAAATTTTCACATGCATACATATGAAAGATTTAATATTGGTTCCTCTTTCAAACATTCTTCTTCAATTTTCTCTTTAATGTAATGGGTTGTCAACTTTTCTTCAACACATACATGTATATAATTCTAGTCATATATAAACATCATTGAATATTAACATGCACTTACAAGCTCATATTTAAGCAGAATGCATACTCATAACTCTCTCAAGAAAGAATTCTTCAAGAAATGGATAACAAGCCTTCAAATATGCAGCTCCTCAAAAGAGAACATGAACTTGTTGGAAAGGAAGAAAGCCATAAAACTATCAGCCGACCTAGCCATGGCTTCCACTCGAAATGGTAAACGATATTGGAGTCGTGCCCTCATCACCAAGGCTTCTAAAGATAGAGAAACCGGAAATTTAGCTAAGCAAATCTTGGGTGACAAAACAACTCATAAGTGTTTTTCACAAGATGACCTCAATGCAACAACATTCACAACAACAACAACAACAACAACAAAGCCTAAATTGCGAACAATTTTTGTTCAAAGCAATAACAAGAAGCCTACTTCTTCAAGGAACATACGCAAGTTTAGGAAATGTGATCCAAAGAAATGTGGTGTGTCAAATAGTTATAAGGTGAAAAAAGCTAGGGCAATGGCAAAGAGATTGGTTGAGAAAAGAACACAAATACTAAAAGGGTTAATTCCTGGGGGAGAATACATGGATGAATTCTCTTTGGTCAAGGAAACACTTGACTATGTTGTCTCACTTCGAGCTCAAGTTGATGTGATGCAATATCTTGCTAATTCTCCTCAACTCTTCATTCAAATTTAGAAAAAAAAATTATATATATATATATATATATATATATATATATATATATATATATTATATATTTATATGTGTTTAGATATAATATATTGAGTTATTTGGGGGTTAATTTTGTAGCTCATTGTATAATTAACCTACTATATATATGCTTAATTATGGACTAAAAAGAATGAATGATTTGTCTTGTATAAATGGTGAATCATATGGTAGTTCAATAGGAACTAATATAAAGGCTAGCTTTATTGTCCAATTTTTCTTCTAGCAATTTAATTTATACTTTCATGGACTCTACTAGTTGTAGGCATAAGATTTATGCTTTTATTAATGTTTATTTTTCAATACAACTATTTTTTTTTTCTTCTTTGGGATTGTCTTAAACAATGTTTGAATAATAATTATACAATTGAATTCTTATTATCGAATATATAAACATTTAGGAAAACTTGCATTTTAAGAGGTAACGAATGATATTACACATATAGAGTGATAGTGTAATTAAGAAAGAAGGATCCAACACATTCGTTGGGGATTACAGTTTTACATGCATCCACTTGAGTAATTATATAATTAATTGGCTTGTACATTTTATTTTTCATGCAAATTATGTATGGCTAGGATATACATTTTGTATTTGATGGTTAGATGGCCTCAAGTTCAAATCTTATTGCTACCTCTGTTAATAATTATGTGCAACTTTTGGATTTTCAAAAGTTGCACATAGTAATTCACGGAGGTAACTTCTAATAATTTTGTTGCCATTTAAATTATTTTCTTATAAACTTCTTTAGAAATATAATACACCTAGTTATCTAGAAAATCAAGTGAAATATATACCACAACATAAAACATAAATAAATAAATAAATAAATAAATAAAAATAGGTGGTTGTGCTAAAAGAAGATAAAGAACTAATTTCCTTTTTAATGAAAAAATAACTAAAATATACACTCCCTCTAATCCATTCGTTTTTGAAAGTTTGACTTACTTTGCATTTGTATGGTTTCCAATATTTTCGACTATGGATAAGTAAACTATTTAGAAATTTAACTCTATGGCAAATCTAATAAGATCCCACATGCTAATATTCAGAGGGGGACCTTCCACCGGGGCTATTTAAGGCCCGGTCCTCGATAAATTATTGTGATTAATTATTAGTTAATGAAATTAAATAAATTTATTTTATTCATACCATATAAGGACATAGTGATTAGTTTTGAACGGGAGGTAAAAGATTTAAATCCTGACCCTTTTAATATTTTTGGCCAAGATCCGCCACTGCTAATATCTGTCCTTTATAAAAAGTAGCCAAAGTTATTCTTTTGTCATTGTTTAATTCTCAATACATCAATTTCTTTTTCTTCTTTGGGATTGTCTAGAACAATGTTTTTGTATTAAAATAAATGAATTTTGAGCTATGTATGCATTGTAAACATTTACCTACTTGTTAATAAACAAAATTAATACCAGTATATAGAGTTGTGTTGGGTTACAAAATATAAATAATAAATACATCACCAAAACATTTCATAAAAAATTCAACAATATGTAATTGAAATTGAGCTTATAAGTATAAAATAATAAATACCAATTTCGCAAGAAAAATATTTTCAAGAAAATCTATATATTCTAGAAGCAAGCCTCCCATTTTACCATATGAATAAAAAGATATCTATATAGTTTATCACTTATGGTCGGAGTTGATTAGCTGAGTAATTAAATGATCATCCTAACAATGTGATCTAATAAAATTTTGGGCCAATTATTACACTTTTTTTTATCATTTTGAAAAACGAACATATATTAATGTAGTTACCTTACATATTTTACTCCCTTTGTTCCTAAAATCTCTTCCTATATGAAATCTTGATATCTTTCATAAGATGAGATAATTTTCTAAATTACTCTCAATAAATAAAACATAATATAGTCATATTAGGTCTTATTATTTGATTTGTCTTAATGAGTATGTAGATCATAAATATTCAATTTTTGTATGTTTTTAGTAATATGCAATTAAGAAATTTGCATGGTCACAGAATTGATTGGCAAACGTGTACAGTCAAATGAGAAGAACTTTTAAGCATGAATTGAGTATAAAAAAAATTATATTTTATTATTTTATAAATGATTCGATGTATTATCTTCCACATTTACAAATTTATAATCTTAAAAGTATTTCATGCATTAGCACGAGTACATTCTAATACTTACAGTAATATATTGTCAGTCTTGTGTATATAGTACGTGATCTAGCTAAATTTGTAGAGGTTTTCTTAAAAAATGATTGTTTGAGAAATGAATATCTAAGGTCGCAAATTAAAATTTAAGATGGAAGACAATACAAACATTGTTCTATGTATTGTATGTATTCAGTGGGCTAAATAATGGACCACCAATCTATGGGCCTTATAAATTAAGGAGTGCAACTGCGCAAGTGATCTCCTTAGGCATGTGATACCTGCTCCTTTACTGAATTTTGTGAGAGCCTTTTGAACATAATAATGAGGAAATTTTAGGAAAAAAAAAAATTGACCGTAATGTTAAGATATAAATATAAACTAGTTTGTGTTCCGGGCGTTATTCCAGTTTACTAGTTTGTACTTGTTTGTTTGCTGATCATGATTGACTGACTTTTCTTAGTGTTTTGATAATTATCTTGAAATTTCATAAGTTGAAAAAAAAAAATTGTAGTAGGTGTTGGAGAACCATATTCAATATTGATGTGTTATGATTTAAAGATAATTAACAATTATTGACTGATTAACTACAGAATAATAAAATATTATTTTTCCTCAAATAAAAAATTAATACAGAGTTTTTCAAATTAAACTTCAAAATTAAAGTTGTTAAATTGGCTTATGTCATTACATAATGAAAACAAATAGTACAATTAAATACTAATTATCGTATCTAAGTTAACTATAATTTTGTTAGATAGAAAAGCAAATTAAATGAACAGCTAAGATCGTAAGACTTGTAACTTAATTCTTGTTGGTCTCAAGTTCAAGTCTTTGTAAAAACATTTTTTAGTTGTCAATGCAAATTTAACACATGTTGTGGAGGTGACATGTCATGTTTATAGTGTTTAAAGATTTGACACATGGCTCATACTGCTGAAATGTCATGTTTATAGTGTTTAAAAAAAGTGACATGCATGTGGCACAAATTCTGCTTTAAGAACGATTTTGAATAAATAAATAAGTATAGATTGTCGTATGAATATTTAATAAATAAATAAGTATAGATTGTCGTATGAATATAGGATTATAGTATTATTAAACAATCAAGACTGTAAGGAGCAATTAAGTATATGATATATTGATATAGATCACTAAAGCCTTGTTCACCTCATCTTATTTTTGCTGGTGAACTAAAATTATTTTTACTGAACTGAAATTATTTTTGTTAAACTTAAATTATTTTTACCGAACTGAAATTAATTTTACTGAACTGAAATTATTTTTACTGATTCTCTATTGAATTTCTTTTTTATGGTTACTGATTTTTACTGAACTGAATTTATTTTTACTGAACTGAAATTATTTTCAGTGAACTGAACTTATTTTTACTGAATTGGAATTATTTTTACAGAATATTATTTTTTTAGAGTGAAGTGAATAAGGCCTAACAATATAAGAAGTATATGACTTCTGACTTTACAATTTTTGAAAATCATATTCATATATAAACACAACTACTCTGTATTATTACTTTCTGTTATAGTTTAATTTCTTAATATACGGATTTATTACTTCCATGTTCCATTTTTGGTAATGAATCTTTGCAAATTTACCCCCCCCCCTTCCAATGCACCACACTTGTTGAATCACTCGTCTTTAATTGATGGCCAAATTCATTCTTTTGTAGCTTGTTGGTTTGTTGCTCGACTAGTCTTAATTTTGTGCAAATAGTAATTGTGAAGAATATTAACGAGCATAGATAGTCATACAATCTATAGTACATACTAACAAATTTATATTTGAGTATACATGTATTGGCTATTGACTATTGAGTACAATAACGTCAATTACATGGAAAAGAATATATCATTAAGTAGAGAGAAAAAAAAATTAAAATAAAATAAAATTTAAGTAACACTAGAGCTTCACATCCAACCAGCAGTATAGCATATACTTACGAGGCAGTCCTCAAACTTTTGAAAATTTTCTCTTTCGAAGAACATGTATTCTCACAAATGGAAAATTTTTAGGTGGATAATCTCAAGAAGTGACTGTAATATTTGTGCATGAAGTTTTATATGTGGTTGTTCACACTGTGTAGTCGGGGTTATATATACAGGGATTACTCGGTCGGTTAGGGGTTACTTGATCAGGGGTTACTCGATCGATCAGGAGTTACTCGGTCGATGTTTTGATCGGTCGATGTTTTGACGTGTGTCAGCTGGCCACACAAAAAATGCGCTGAAACTTGTGATTTGTTAAGCCTTACAATAAAGCAAACTATCTTAATTAATTAGATTTAACTGACCGGAGAAAATAATAATGTACGAGTTGATAATTGTGTTGTTTCCTTGCTATTACAAGTGGTCCTACTTGTCACACGCCCACAATTACTCTCAAAAAAGCAATAATTAAATTAATTAACAAAAGTTATAAACTTTAATCTGATCTTCACGAGTGTAATCATCACTCCATTAATCACACCTAAGTTTATTGAGAAAGAATGTCAATAAAAGAACCTACCAAAAGCAGCTTCCATGACCCTTCTTAATTGGAATTAAGGGGTGTAGTTAAAGGCTAATCCTAGGAAAAGTAAGGCTGCCTTGCTCTTAATTAAAAAAAAAAAATTTAAGGTCATGATCGATATAACTCATCATAATACTTTTAGAGGACGGTTGAGTCAATCACAATGATTCATGTCGACTAATTTTCTCTTTATCCAAATACATGCATGGTTATCGTGTTTTCTAAGTATCTTCCTTGTTATTAAGCTTCTTGATTTTGGAACAAGATATTGATTGAGGGTGTTTTAGTGATGTGACTAGCT